GGTAAGGTTTTTGAGAAGTGGTTTGCCATTGACTGCTTCCTAGGGATGAGACGGAGTGATTGGCCTAAGGTTACACAACTGGCTTAAAAGACTAGAACTCACGATCTCCTGGTTCCTAACCTTATGCCTTAACCAAATTGGCTCTGAGTGATAGACATAGTTTTCACAAATGGCAGACAAAGTTTGTTTATTTATTTACAAAATTTCAAAACTACCCATCTCCCTCACAGAGGGAGGTTGGAACTTGGACTGTAACAAACAGATGAGTAATTGTGTTTTTAATTAATTAAGTAATTAACACATCAGGGAAAAGAAACTAAGCTCACCTTATTTTCCTACAGGTAGACCAGATTTTTTGTTTGTTTGTTTGAAAAAGAGATATTCTTGTCATCTAAATATTTATGTGCAAAAGCATTATGAGTCCAGACTTTGCCACCACATGAACTGGACCAGTAGATAATAGCTTGCTGCAAGAGTAGCAAAAACAGTGCATTTCCTGACACCTGCTTATCTTCTTTCTTTTTCAGCTTATCAGCCAGGAACCAAACCAAGGAGTGCATTATGAATACTATTTGCCATTCCAAAGGCAAACATCAAGCTACAGCTGGGGCTACGGCTCCTGGAGTGACTGTAGTGCTGAATGTGGTGGAGGTATATGTCAGCACTTTACATTTACTATTATTGATTTGCTTAAGTAATGATTCCCAATCTGTGTGTACAGATCACATATTGATCTGTGAGGATATTCTAGATAGTTTGTGTGTGTATGCTACAAATACAGACACGTAGCAGATGGGGAAGCTGAAAACTGAATGGGCGATGTGAGAGTGTTAGTCTCTAAGACTGACTGTTTATTGGTTGAAATCTCAGATAATTAGCAAATCACACAAAATGTTGGCATTCTCACTCAAAATCTCAGAAATGTTTGGACAGGTATACTAGTTGCATATGAGGATTGGTAGACATGCTAGATTTCAATCATTAAATTAAATGCTATACTGAACTGTTGTAGTGATGATTGTGTAATAATCTATATGCCATCTCTTAAACCAGCGGTTCTCAACCTATGGGTCGTGACCCCATTTGGGGTCGATCGACCATTTCACGGGGGTCGCCAAGCAAGGCTGTCCGCCATTTTTTTCCCCTTTTCCGGCGGGTGCCTTACCTCCCTTGGGCTGGGCCAGCTGGTGGTTGGCCTGCTTCATCTCTGCCGCTTGCCAGCTATACCTCGGACGGCGCAGGGGACGGAACCACGCATGCGCGGTGCTCCCGGGCAGGGAAAGTCCTCGACTTACGACTGGTTGGGTAGTCCTCGACTTACGACCGGTTTAGTCCTCGACTTACGACCAGTTTAATCCTCGACTTGCGACCGGTTTAGTCCTCGACTTACGACCGGTTGGGGGTCGCGGCATTAAAAAGGTTGAGAACCACTGTCTTAAACCATGGGTGTCAAACTCGATCACGTCACATGATGTATCGTGACGTATCATTATGTTTTTTGCCTTTGCAGAGCTTGGGCGGGCATGTCCTGTGCATGACGCATCCAGCCTGCGGGCTGCCAGTTTGACACCCCTGTCTTAAAGCACTTAAAGCCATTTTTAACTAGAATAAATGCATTATCAAGATGATCCTAAGCAGAAATCTGTTACTTCAGGAGAACTCTAGAACCACAGCATAGAATGGGTGAAAGCAATCTTCTCCTGCCTGAGATATCATTTCAATTTTGCAGGATCCAATCTGAGTCGGTCACTGTGTTTTGTAGCATATACACAGAGATTTAGTCTTCAATGTTGTGCCCTGCCTAAGGATTGCAAAAGATAGTAATGTGGATAATAATGTGGACAGGCCCGATGCTTTTGGCTTGCTTTGAGCAGAGTATTATAAGGAGTTAAATAAATGATTTAAGCCAGAAAAATATTAAATATAATCTTGCTTTTCAGGGTCTACCAAAACAAGTAAATTGCCCTAATTCAGGAGAGAATTGGTGGGTTTTAAACCACCCATTTTTTTGTTAGAGAGCTAAGGGTAATATTTTTCTTCATTTCTCCCACACAAAACACACAAAAATGCCCTGAAAATTTGGCCGAGATCACTCTGGGAGCTGCAAAAGGGATTTTTGCGGAGACATTGACCTGTGGGAAGATCAAGAGGGGCAAATAACAAAGCAATATTGGATCATTATGATGCAAGCCCCATCCCTTTTGTTATGATGTAACACACCCATACAAAGGAGAAGGCCTTGTATCACAATAGCATGATGCTGCTTTGGTCATTTGCACAAAGGCACTGCATCCTGTGAATGCCTGGGAGTTTTGGAAGGCTACATGTGTCTGTTAGGCATGAGAAGTGTAGCAATATTACTTCTGCAATTCCTTATGCCCCCCATGGGCATCTTACTAGTTTTTAGAGCTGATATCGTAACGATTTTAACTGCTGCTTTCCCAAAATGACATTCTGCTCTGGTAGCCATTTTTCTAGTATGTGATTTTAATGTAATGGGAAAACCTGGTTTGAAAGGTAGGACAGAGGGATAAATGGTTAGATATATTAGATTATATTGGTTATAAGAGCCGTGTTGGTGCAGTGGTTAGAATGCAGTATTGCAGGGTAATTCTGCTGACTGCTAACTGTCAACAGTTCGATTTTGACTGGCTCAAGGTTGACTCGGGCCTTCTATCCTTCCGAGGTCGGTAAAATGAGGACCCAGATTGTTGGAGGCAATATGCTGACTCTGTAAACCACTTAGATGGGACTGTAAAACACTGTGAAGTGGTATATAAGTCTAAGTGCTATTGCTATTGCTATAACCAAGTTTTTATTTTTGGCTTTTTTTTGTCAGTGGGACTCAATAGCTGATCATTATTCTTGAAATTGTTCCTCTTAGACCCTGATCAGGTTATCACTGAATTCTAGAGCCAGAAGGAATCTAGAACTCATAAAATATATTAATCTGGATACTCAACCTTCCTGTTCTTACATACAGAAAATAACAGTGTATATTCTAGTGTTGCCTGGAAGGCTGTGAGAAAAGACATAAATTGAAAATAAACTCTGATTAAGTTGCGACAGGATTATTATATCATGAACAAAATCATGGTATTTTGATAAAACTTGTTTTGAGAATTTGACCTATATATATATATTTTAAAAAAGCTTGCAGTGGTCTGTGCAGAAATCATCTTGTAATCTTTGCTTATGGGATTATAAAGAGATCTGCTATTAGCCATTCTAGGAGATACAATTTTGTAATGGGTGGCAGACATATTTTGATTCATTCAGACTTAAAGCCTGTCCATCTGTTTATTCTTCTTCAAAGTAGATGTGACCAACTACCTTAGTTACTCATTGCACTGCATGTATGCCAGTGAGATTGTATATGGTATGGTAAAGTGCAAATAGTAGTCTTTTGTTTCTTCATTCAGCTTCTATACTGTTGCAAATGATGTGAAAGGCAGTTTGATGTAGTGGTTAAGGCACCAGGCTAGAAACCATTCAACTCTAGTCCTGCCTTAGGCATGAAAGCCTTTTGGGAGACTTTGGGCCAGTCTCTCTCTCTCTCTCTCTCTCTCATCCCGCAACATCAGGCTTGGGTGACAAGACAGTTGGTTAAATCCTGTCACAACCAATGGATCAGCACTCTGTTGACCCAGAAAAAGCAGACCCTGCACTTGAGGGGAAAATGCTAGGAAGAAAAAAAAACTTGTAAATGAAACAGTCTGGTAGAGGTAGTCCTTGACTTACAACAGTTTGCTTAGTGACTGTTCAAAACTACAACAGCACTGAGAAAAGGGACTTATTTAGGGTCATTTTTTCACAATTATGACCATTGCAGCCTCCCCACAGTCATGTGATCAAAACTGAGACACTTGACAACTGACTTACTTATATTTATGATGGTTGCAGTGTCCTGGAGCCATATGATCAGCTTTTGTGATCTTCTGACAAGCAAAGTCAATGGAGAAGCCAGATTCACTTAACAACTGTGTTACTAACTTAACAGTTGCAGTGATTCACTTAAGAAAGGTCGTAAAATGGGGCAAAACTCACTTAACAAATGTTTCGCTTAACAACAGAAATTTTGTGGTCGTAAGTCGAGGACTATCTGTAGTGCACAACATAATCTACAAACATAAAACATCCTCCGTGAAATAAATAATGCATAAATAAAGGTTCAGTCAGCAAAATTCTTCATTTCTTTTCATTACTTGAAAGAACCTGAGCAAACGTATAACAATCTATTTACATTTAGCTAAGCTAATGGGAAAAGATCCTTGGGGGCAAGGGGGGGTGGGGCGGGGTCCCCATCTCAACCAGCTTCTGCAAGGCAATCAATGTCAGAGCAATGTCTGACTTCTGAGGGAAAGCTGGCCAAAAGCACAGGGCCACGGTGGGGAAATATCACCTCCCACCCCTAAAAATTGATGAAATTGAGGGATTTTCAGAATTCTTTTCCAAGGATGAGCATGTGAACCCATTATTTCATTCAATTAATTATGTAACTTAATTAATTCCCCCCACACACACACACACACACTCCTGCCTTCAGATTAGTGCTAGCCCTGCTATCTTGATTACAATCACATCATTTGTGTGGGAATATGAAAACAAAACTCATTAGATGCTGGCCTCTACCTAACGCTTATCTATTTGATGATAACACTTGTTTGATTTAGGAATGTTATGCAACTGATCTCCTTGCCAATTATCTGTGCCATCTTTGTCGTGGTTTTTTTTCTCTCTGCTCTTCAGGTTATCAGTCTCGGCTGGTCTTTTGTACCATTGACAATGAAGCATATCCAGATTATATGTGCAGAGATAAACCATGGCCAGGAAATAACCGAACCTGTGGCCTCCAGGCCTGTCCCCACACAAAACGGTGAGCTTTGATTTGGTTTCTCTCTTCTCTGAGATACCTTGAAATCTAAGAAGCGGTCATAGTCAGAAATAACTTGGTAGTCTCCGTTCGGGGCCCTTACTGTTCTCACGCAAAAGGCATGCAGAGAAACCTGAGCCCTGGAGAAGCACATGTGGTCCTCAACTTACAACCATTTGTTTAGGGACTGATCCAAGTTACAGTGGCACTGAAAAAAAGCGACTTATGACCGGTTTTCACACTTACGAAGTGTTGCAGCATCCCCATGGTTATGTCATCAAAATTTGGGTGCTTGACAACTGGCATTATTTATGACAGTTGCACTTTCCTAGGTTCTTGTGATCACCGTTTGTAACCATCCCAGCCAGTTTTCACCAAGCAAAGTCAATGAGGGAATCCGGATTTACTCAATGACCATACGATTCACTTAAGAGCTGCAGTGATTCGGTTAGCCACTGTGGCAAAACAGGTCATAAAATGGGGTAAAACTCACTTAACAGCTGCCTTACTTAGTAACAGAAATTTTTGGGCTCAATTGTGGCTGTAAGTCGAGGACCGCTTCTCACACAAGCCAGAACAAAATATTATCTGAGAAAAATATCTTACAAGCTAATTGAGAATAGGCAATCTTTTCTTTGAGGCTTTCCTAGTCACAAAATGTTTTCCAGGTTGGGAGTAGCTAATCACACAACACATAATTTTTATTGATTTATTAATCAAATTTATGTTATTATCTTTCTTTTATTTATTTTTTATATTGGCAAATTGTTGCTCTCTCCAGGATGTGCACCATCTTTTTAGACCCATAAACCCATGAACAAAGAAAAAAAAATAGCTACGACATCTACTGTTTTTCTTTTCTAAGCAAGTCAGTGCAGTCTGTGTGGGGTCCAGGGACCTTCTGGAAATGAAGCCTGTGCTTTGCTTTCCCACTTACCATCAACCCATTTAATTAAATTAAAAGCACCTGACTCTTCTCTTAGGAGAAGGTGTCAATATTACTAAACATACTAGGAAGGGTAGATAAAAGCTTTCTGATAGAAGATCATTTAATATTTCCTGATTAATGGGAAACTGTATTGGAGAGAGAGCCTCCTTGTGTGAAATGCAAGTGGTGAGTGGGGAGAATTCCTTTTCATTTTATCAAAAAGACTTTATTATTCTTTATAAAGTTTTAGAGATATGAAATTGTTTCCTCTGTTTTAGCACTAGAACTTTTCTGAGCATAATGAGGTTTCTGCTTATAATATGGACAGAATCCAAAACAAGTATCCACCTTCAGATCTCCAAAGGATGTGTCACATTCAACACAGAGAGTTAGACCAAAATCCCACCTCCCATTTACTATGACCTATTGCTGATTTCCAGGTACATTTAGTGAATTCTTGTGGCTGTAACGAACAAAAAAAAAATTCTGGACAATTCAGATGAAGGGATCAAACCATGAAAGCATCATCAATGTTTTTTGCTGTATCCAACTTTTGGAGGGAGTGATTTGAAGACATGATGAAGGGCAGGGGAAACTGAATTCTTCCCACCACCCACATATTTGGCCTTGATTTGAATTGCCTCTTCTTCTTGTGAATAATAAGGTGCCTCTATGTTTTCTGCATAATAGTAGCTATGCTGGGTGGTCTATTTTGGTGCAGGAAATTGGTACAGATGCAAAGAGGAGAAAAGACTGTCTGCCTGCCCGTGACCCCGATCCAAACTGGACCCCATCCCAACATCCTTTGGCAGTGTTTTTCAACATTGGCAACTTGAAGACGTGTGGACTTCAACTCCCAGAATTCCAAGCCAGCCATGCTAGCTGAGGAAAGGTCAGGCTGGCTGAGGAATCCTGTGAATTGAAGTCCAAACATCTTCAAATTGCCAAGGTTGAGAAACACTATCATAAAAAAAATATGGCAGCGGAGGTTTTCAATCCGTCGTCAAAATCCCATTTAGTTTGGCCCTAAAAGGATAGAAATCATACTGTAAAAGACAGACCCAGATGTCTATATATCTATTATGGGCTTTAAAATCTTTGTTCTATATACAAAGGGTATCTTACCTCTATCTGCCGGGAGCATGGAGCCGCAACAGAGCATGGAACTTGCAAACAAAGAGGTAACTAGGAGAAAGTGGTTTAGCTCTTTTCTTCCTTCTCCTCACCTACAATAGTGGTTTTCAAGCTTCCTAACCTTAGTAAACGGCTTGTATTCCCCCCTCCCCTTGCATTATTAGCTGCTCATTCAGCAGGAATTTGCTAAAAAACAAACAAACTACAAATTCCTGAGAAATGCTTGTTGAAAGCCACAGACCTAGATTCATGAAATCATACAAAACAGAAAGGTTGGAAGAGACCTTAGCGGTCCTCCATGCCTGGTGAGACATATGCAGGTAGTTCTCGACTTACGACCACAATTGAGCCCAAAATTTCTGTGGATAAGTGAAACATTTGTTAAGTAAATTTTACTCCATTTTGCAACCTTTTGTACTACAGTTGTTAGGTGAATCGTTGCAGTTATTAATTTAGTGACATGGTTGTTAAGAGGATCTGACTTCCCCATTGACTTAGCTTGTAAGAAAGTCACAAAAGGTGATCACATGACCCCAGGCCACTGCGACCGTCATAAATATGAGTCAGTTGCCAAGCATCTGAATTTTGGTCACGTGGCCGTGGGAATAGAGCTACGGTCATAAGTGTCAAAAACAGTCATATGTCACATTTTGCAGTGCCGTTGTAACTTTGAATGGTCACTAAATGAACTATTGTAAGTTGAGGACTACCTGTAGTAATTTAAAGCACAGGTTCATCCTGTTCATCCAAGCAGTGTGACTACATAGCCTCTCCCCAAATTGCTGCTGAAAAGTTGTAATTTGCAGACAGAAGGAATTATTAAATTCATAGCAAGCAATTATACTGAGTATATTCAATCATTTTAATTTACATTCAATTAAGGTTAAATTTAATTTAGATAAAAAACAATTTTTTGTCATGGCTCTACATCCTGGTTGGAGTGTGGCTCCCAGCACGCTACTCAAAGGCTGGTGAGGCTCTAAATCTTCCAAAAGTTCCACGAACTTTTGAAGGCTTTTCTTCTAGCTGGTGGACTTTGTTCTTAAAGCTTTGGCTTTTCTCCCTAAATAATGGTGTTGGGCAGCCAGTGCTTTTTGCCTTCTTATCCTGTGTGAAGAAGGGTGAAGGAAGAAATTTTCTTATTTTTTCTTTGTAGCCCAAGAGTTTAGATATCATATCCCCAGTAGCTTCTGCTGAGAAGTTTAGTAAATTAAAAAGGAATATTACTGGAGATTGCTGCATTGTTTTATCTAACCTTTCTTTTCTGTTTTTCTATATTTTTCCCATACCCATTAGTCTGGATGATCATTTTACAGATTCAGTTACATATCCTAAGAATTTATCAGAGGTCCTTCCATAATGATCAATTACCAACCAATAGTACAACTGTATTAAAAGTCATATTTCACATAATAAAATTCACTACTACAAAGCATGATGATGCCATTTGCTTTGATAACTTCAACAAGGGGCTAAACCAAACCAAAAGAGCCATCAAAGAGGTGGGGGATGGGGAAATAGAGTAATTGCAAATACTGTTTGGGGAAGTGAAGATATGACTTTGTTATGTCTTAACCTAATGGGACACCCAGTCTGATCCAGTGGAACTCCTAAGTCCTACAGAAAAGGACTTAGGTCCTACCAAAAAGTTTTTTGAGCTTTCAAGTAGAATATCTGCATGATTTACAGTTCCCTACTCTTTATTATGCTTTATAATTCAAATCAGACAAAAAAAGAATCTTCCATGTAATGTCATATATCCTCCCACACTACTTATGATAGAATATGGAATATATGGCTAAATTAGCAGAGAAATAAACATGGCTACAATGCTATATAGCTTGCAGTCACCATTCCTGAAATAAAATCTTTTGCTATATTCTTTAATTGTAACTGTTCCCACAACATGCTAAATCAGGATGTGTGGCAAATTGTTCTCCAACAAGCTCAGGGGTAGGCAACCTCGGCTCTTTTATTACTCATGGACTTCAACTCCTAGAATTCCTGAGTCAGCATAGCTGGGCTAGCTAGCTCTCTTCTACCCTTCCTGCTTCCTGCTTCCTGCAGAGACGCAGACAAGGCAGGAGCCCCGGCCAAAAAGCTTTTCAGCTTGTCCACTCTCTTTTTTATACACACACACACACACACACACACACACACACACAGAGAGAGAGAGAGAGAGAGAGAGACAGAGACAGAGACAGAGACAGAGAGAGAAGCAGGGAAGCGCAAGTGCCTCTCTCTGTCTCTGTCTCTCTCTGCAAATGGCAGAGGAGGCTGACCCACAGGGGAAGGCTCAAAGAGCCACATGCGGCTCTGGAGCCGCAGGTTGCCGACCTGTGTTCTAGTCCAACCCCCTGCTCAGGCAGGAAACTCTATACAGTACCATTTCGGACAAATGGCTGTTCAGTCTCTTCTTAAAAACTTCCAGTGTTGGAGCATTCACAACTTCTGGAGGCGGGATGTTCCACTGATTAATTTTCTAACTGTCAGGAAATTTCTCCTCAGTTCTAGGTTGCTTCTCTCCTTGGTTAGTTTCCATCCATTGCTTCTTGTCCTGCCTTCTGGCGCTTTGGGGAATAGCTTGACTCCCTCTTCTTTATGGCAACGCCTGAGATATTGGAACACCGCTATCATGTCGCCCCTAGTCCTTCTTTTCATTTCAGGATGAGCTGGACTAAAACAACATAGTAACTAAAAGCTAACAGGCTGCATTTTGATTTAGCCATTATAAGAACTCAGCTAATACTGTATGTCTATAAGACAGAGGTACCATTGCCATTTGAAACTTATTTCTTTTCAGGTGAAATAAAACAGGTGATCCAGTGCTCGATATTTTAGAAGATTTGAAAGGAAAATCAAGGTGGTTTCAAATAAGTGACGTCTCAAGATTCATAAACTTTAAAAACTTATGCTAGAACTCTTGAGAGACTAAAAAAAAATTTCTTAAGTTTTCTAATTATTTGGATCAGTGAATATAAAAATGTTAAGCGGTAATTACTAGACATATTGGTAGCAAGCCATTAAAATGTGGATCCGCCACATGGTTGCTTGATTGGATGAGGAAGATGTTTGGTAATTTAGGGCAAGGGAATATTGGGAAAGCATTATGTACCCTTTGCTCTTCTTTTGATGCATAATCCACTCCAGCTATTTTTTTCCATTGAGATTCATAAATTGGAAGCAAGTTTGGTTGAGAAAGGTTGGTTTAATTTGTACATGACAACCCTAGATTTCTGGAATTCCACCAGGAATCTGACTCAAAGCAACTCCATAACACATATCTTCCTTTTTAATGGATACTCATCTTCCTCACCACCATTGCTCCTAGTTAGAGAAAGTTGACTACGTTATCTCTCTGGGCTCCCCTGACAAGGCAGTGCCATTTTGTTTCTGATATTGACTTCCATGGCTTTCTTTCACTAGAGTGAAGTGACTCCTATTGTCCCATCTAGTGATCCAACCCTGGCTTTATTCTTGCTATAAGTGCTGCTTATTTGTTCACCAGTCTGAGAATGGATGGCATAAAACAATGAATAGGGGCAGCAGAGCCTATGGGCTGATTGCCAGGGTTTCCTCTTGAATGTAGCCCTAATTATGAAAGCTTTGAGATTTGGTCTGAATAGTTTTTTCTATTGTTAGTCTATTTAAGCAATTTTTTTTCATTTTTTGTATGGGAAATTGGCTTTCCCCCCCGTTTTGCTCCTTGCACATAAAATGGTTGTTGCCCATCTCTACCTCTGTGATGTCATGAAGTCCTTCGTGAAGGACATGGAAAGTGAGCCGATTAACAATCAGCTTGGCTCCTCCTCCAAAGGAAATCCTGTCGAGATCAGGCAGTCGATTTCTCATTGATGGGAACCTCCACCTTGTCCAAGTCCCAGCTTCATTTTTCTCATCCTGTAATTGGCAAGATCCCATTGCAGCTTGCCACCATCTCCCCACTTCTCCAGAGTTGTTTTGAAGCATGGCTGGCACTTCCCCTGAGCAATGACCAATTGGGGCTTAATTGTTTTGCCCAAAAAGATGAGCAAGGGAAAAACGGGGGGAAAAACAAGAAGTTGGCTACCTATCTTTTTTTTTTTTTAACAACTGGAGCCAACTGAAGATAGGGTGATCGACTCACGGGGGTTGGAGGGAAGTGAGAATAATTACAAATACCGTTTGGAGAAGCGAAAATATGTTTTTATGAAAGGGACCACTAAGGGCTGAAAAGAGCTATATATCATGGCAATAATCACAGGAGTGAGAAAGACAATATCATTTGCAGGGAATGGAGGGAAATTTATTTTCTTACACTGAATATTGTTCCACAGCAACCTAAAATAATACGTAACTGTAAAAGGCAGTAAGTAGTAAAGTTCCTCTTGGAATATAAGGCTGAATTTATTTTTTAGACACTGATCCTTTTTTGCAGTCTGCTTCCTTCTCTAGTCCTATTGAAGGAGCTGCCTAGATTAGCCTCCTGCCAGCTAAGTTATTTTTAGAAAAGGACTTCCTCTGAGATGCCATGCTCCACTCCCATAGTCACTCTCCACTGAGCCTCCTATTGGTCTGTATGCTGTGCCAAGATAGTTGAGGTTATTTGTGCAGTTTCTGTTGGAAACGACAGCTTGAGCTGGCTGTTTGACTGTCTGGAATTTTGATTAAAGCCCAGCCTTCCAACTGTGGTCCTTGCTACTCCTGTTTGCAGCGTCAGGCGAAGCTTCTCCCAAATTTAGAAAAGTCAAGTTAAAAGTGGAGTTTTGTGTCAATGCATGTACAGAGTGAAGCATGTTTCAGGAGCATCCAAGAGTATCGAGATCTGATTAATTCATATTTTATTCAAAGCATAGCCCCAGGCTAGACCCTGGAGATTTCCCAAAGATCAACCCTCCATCCCAAATGCCCTGGACCACATTGATGCGAGTAGTGTTGGGTGTAAATGTGCAAAATTTTTCATAGGCACATTTTTATCTGAAAATAAAAATTTCTCCAGCTACTTTTTGATGGTGGGAAAGACATTGTGATCCTGCAGAGGCAAAACGCATGTAATATTTTTTTTTAATGTGCATAGCATCTGCATAATATAGAGAGATCATACAGTAATGGTATTCCTCGTGCAGAATCTGGGGTTTGTCTTAATATAGCTCTTGGTGCTGCAATCCCTTAAAATAGTGACATTCTACTACTCTCTCCTGGGGATTTCCTCCCTTTCTAAACCTTTCCATCTCTGAGGCACCTATTAATACTTCACCTCAAATTGTCTTTTTGATTCCTTTCATCTACTTCCTTTCATTAGATTGGCACCCCTGTTATTTTTAATGCTGCTAGAAATTTGGAATTCCTGCCTTTTAATATGACTGTGTTAATTCCCATATTTCAGGCATCTTTTTCCTAACCCTTATTAGCTGGATAAAAGCTGTGATCAAAAAAAGCTCATCCCAGGAACTAATTGTGAGAAATTTTTGTTCCGGGATGCTAGTGGCTTCTTGGTTTCTTGAGAATTGTTTTTTTTTTAATTTGTTTTTAGCTGGAAAACTGGTGACTGGAGCCAGTGCTCTGCCACCTGCGGAGGGGGCATTCAAAGCCGTTCAGTTTACTGTGCCACGTACAATGGACATAATTTTCAGGATGCTGTGGATGATACCGAATGCGCCTCCTTAACAGAGAAACCGCGCAGTGCGCAGCCTTGCAACCTGCAGCGGTGTGCCACATGGGTTACAAGTCTTTGGTCTGAGGTGAGCTTTTTCCTCTATGTACAATATCTATACTGAGGCAGGATTGGTCCAGCTTCCTCTGCGCCTTGGGAAGAAAAAGATCATCTAGCCCCAGGGCACCCTTGGGGCGCCCTGATTTGTTTTGCATGATTTTAGTACTCAGTAAACCATTGGAAATACAGGTAGTCCTCATTTAATGATGACATTTGGGATTGGCAACTCAGACATTAAGTGAAGAGGTCACAGAGTAAAACTGTGATTGTGTTAATTATCTTTTTTCAGCTTTGTTTTATAGACTTGCAAAGATCATAAAAACAAGGTTTGGTTATAAAGTTAGTTTTTCATCACCGTTCCAAATGTGAGCAGGTACTAAACAAGGATTACCTGTAACACGACAGGATTATGTAACATTGGGGCTCATCATAACTTTGTGGGCGCCTGTACCACAAGTACAGAGTGAGATTAAATACAGGATGTGGACTGGTAGTTCAGGTGTTCATCTAGGACAGGGGTAGGCAACCTTGGCTCTTTTATGACTCGTGGACTTCAATTCCCAGAATTCCTGAGCCAGCATAGCAGGCTCAGGAATTCTGGGAGTTGAAGTCCACGACTCATAAAAGAGCCAAGGTTGCCTACCCCTGATCTAGGACCATGGGGGGGGGGCAAGTTCGAATCTACCATAGATATGGATGCTCAGGGTAATCTTAGACATGTCAGTTCCTCTCAGCCCAATTTGACTGATTGATTAAATTTATATGCCCCACATATCACTCTGTAAGTTACTATATAACTTACCTTGCAAGACTGTTTTTGTGGGAAAGCAGAGGCCTCCTAGAGGAAAAATAGGTTATAAATATAACAAATAAATAAAAATATATAAATAAAGTACATAAGTATTTGAATATCATTTAACTGGTTATGATCATGTTTAAAGCATGTATTTAAAATTAGAAAAATTACAAAATGCACACAAAAGACTAAATATACCAAAAAATGGGGATTTTTTTAAAATGATAAAAATCAGAAAAAGAGAAGAGGAACAAATTCTAAAAAATGGATGTGTCTTACAATTTATAAAATATTTATAAATTTATAAAATTTATTTATAAAATAAAATAACAAGCCGCAATTGCAGTTCACCTCCAAAAGAAGTCAAACTCCATGGCAAAATCTCTGGAACTGCCCACATGCCTGAATGCCATAGCATTTTAGTGAAACGTTGAAAACCTGAACACTGAAGAGATCTTCATTCAGACTGTAGAGTATGCAGAACAAATCAACATCAGCGATAGAGATGTATGTCATGCCACAAGCAGATAATTTTTTTACAGTGTTCAGTAAGCTGCGGTGAAGGTATTCAAACCCGGACTGTAAGCTGCCAGTCTGAACAGGGCCCTCAGATTCTAGATGTTGCTTGCTTGAGAGAACGAAAACCTCCGCACACTCAGCCCTGCATCGGGGAGAATTGTATACAGGAGATTGGCTGGCATATTGGAGACTGGGGACTGGTGAGTATGACACACATTTCCCTAGAGGACTAATCCAGTTTCTGTCCTGTCCCTGCTTCCTCTTTCACATTCTTACAAAGACCCATTTGCATCCATACCATATTTGTTGATCTCCTGGGATAATGAAAATAACCACAAGAAGGAGGTCACCAACTTGAATAGCCCCTAGGACAAAGCTAGGGCATGGTCACAGCATAAATATTTTAATCAATTGCTTTCTGGGACAGGATGGTGATACTCACATGATCTTATCTTCTGGAAATGAAACTGTAAAGTGCCTTAGTTGTAATTGCCTCTAAGAACAATTGCCTGCAGAATCTTTGGACTATTCCTGGGCCTTATTTATCAGTCCTACTAACTGACCTGGAAATAACTATTCCTACCAGGTCTTTGTTCTTTACCAGTTTCTTTCCCTGATTTGCCATGATTCTGATGAGGTTGGGATTTTGGGATTTTCAGAATTCCAAGTTAGAATGGCTGCAGGAAGACTGGAGGGTTCCATATTGGAAAACCTCCAAGTAGCATTTGCAGACTTGTTCCTTGACACTTCACCCACAAGGCCTCTGGCCCCTTGGTGATTCTTTGCTTCTCCTCTGATTATCCATTGTTTTAATCTTTACCATTTTTTGATCAAGTGCTCAAAAAGCTGTGGTTCTGGTATCCGAACCCGCCAAGTCATCTGTGCTGATGGTGATTCCAAATTCTACGGTCATGAGATTTGCCAAGAGATACAGCCACAGATACCAACCATGCTTGGGAGCTGCAATACACAACCTTGTCATCTGCCCCAACGTAAGTGCAAAGTGGTGGTAGTCTCAGCATCTACTTCCAAGGAATCTGGGATGTAGGTACAGATAGGAATCCCCCCGTCATATAGTATAACTGGTAGGCTTTTCCGTTTTATACATGTTAAATTATATCTCTATGAAACATCCGTTACAGAAATGTTGAGTTGATGACTCAGTATTCTTCGTGTCCTATGTTTGATTACTGATTTGTAAAAAAAAAAAAGGGGAGGATGATGCGATGCATATTAGAATAAATGAGGTTAGCAAAAAATCAGTAAACTTCTGCTTTAGTAGATTGGACCTTACCACCCAGTAAATTAATTCTAGGATTGCAGTAAGAGACAACATATTTTTATGATTTGTGTTTTGTGGGGATTAAATACAGGGGGCTCATTCAGGTCACAATGTGACTTGATTTATGTTTTGTTTTTCCACATAAAAATGCTAAGATTAAACCTTAGAGTTTTTAATATCCAAAAATATGTTCTTTAGTACTGAATTATGATTTTCTTGGGTCACAACAGAAATCTGTGATTTCTAGAAAATCTAGAAAGCACTGAAAAAAAAATAATTGGTTTGTTGTTATGTTATTGTTAAAAATAGTTTTTTTGGGGGGGGAGTTCGTTGTCTTCTCATTGAAAATTCCCAATAGTATTATTCTACAGAAATTAGTATCAGATTGGTTACTTCCTACCAATATCAAGCTATTAAGAATCAATTTAAAAAAAATCAGTGCTGCTCATTTCTAAAGGAGCATTTGACAACTTATTTTGTCCTGTGATCCATGCTTCCTGTTGGTGCCCTGGTTGGATGGGAGCTGAAAGGGGCTTGACATGACCAAGCAACATGACATTGTGGTAATATTAGAGTTAGTGGGGCTAGGTTTCTCTACTCAGGTTTTTTTTTCTTAAGTTTTGGAGAATTTAAAGGACAAAAGAAATGCTTGGAGACTTACTAAAGCATAAGGCGTCCATTTGGTGCTTTAAAACCACTCAAAAAAATAAATAAAAATCAGCCCAGTTTGGAAGATTTTATGGCTATCCGTTTTATGTATATTTATTTGATTTATAAATCCCTCAATTACTGTGTCAGCTCCAGCTGAATACCTTGAAAAACAAGAAGAAAAAGAAATAATAACTATCAGTTTAAAGCTCACTACTGCTGCAAATAAAAAAATAATCAAACTAGAAAGCAGAGGTGACAGGTCATTGCCGTCCTCCTAGGACTGAGAAAGAGTGACTGGCTCAAGGTCATCAAGTTGGCTTTGTGCCTAAGGTAGAATTAACACTCACAGTCTCCCAGTTTATGGCCTGGTATCTTAACCCCTACAACAAATTAAGTAATTATCTCATCAAGAATTAGAAATGGGAAATCCCTGAAAACATAGGGTCCTTGAATCCATAGCTACCAGATCTTTCTAAAGTTGAGCTTAAACTTGTACCTCTCCATCCATATCCTAATAACCAGAGAAGAAGCTGAGCAGTATTATTTGATTGGCCAGGAAAGAGATACTCAACTGAGTAACATCCACATATTGATGATATCTGACCCCATGCCATTAGATTACTTCACCTAGCTACTTCATGTAGATACTAAAGAAGAGCACAAAGTGTTAAACCCTGGGGAACTGTCAAAGCAGGGATCTTAGGCTGAATTCTCCACCCCACCAATGCTATCTGGAGCCTTCTCAAGGGAAAGAAAAGCCACAGTACTACTGCCTCCTACTCCCAATCCTTGGAAATAGTCCATAAAGATAACACAATCAATAGTATCAAAGGCCATTGAAATCAGATAAGACCAGGAAAATTTAGAAAAATTAAGAAACTCATTTCATCCTTTAAATTTTCCCCAAAACTATAAAAAAATGGGTCCACACATTTTAGGAGTTTTGGCAGGGATATTAATGGGGTACTGAAGGGTCAAATGGGAATTCTTTGCACTTTTCTATTAAGTTTTAACTTTTCTTGAAATTTTGCCTCTTTCTTAAGGGATATTAATATTTTCCAATGTACACTCTAGGTATTAAAGTCTGTAGAACTTTTCCCTTGTGTTTTCTAATGGAGCTTTATTTCCATCTATTTTGAAGTGCCATTTTACCACTACACAACAAAATACGTCCTTAGGCTCCCTTTAATTGATGGGTGTGGTGGGAGTAGAGAAATTTTTTTTATACAGCATAATGCACTATATTTATTCCTATTCCTGCAGAGGTTCCCAGTATGCAAGACATCACAGGGTTCAATATCAGCCGTCGGACATTATTGACCCGCTACCATCCTGACCAAGGCACTGAAGGTTTGGAAATGCCCTTCCTTCAACCAGTGTTATTTTGCTTTTCTCTGAGTAGCTTTTCAGCATGTTCCCCTTTCCCATTTTTAAGGAAATGGAAGTCTTACAGCTCAGGCTATAGTTCTCTAGGGCAGTGTTTCTCAACCTTGACAATTTTAAGGCATGTGGACTTCAACTCCCAGAATTCCACAGCCAGCATTGCTGGCTGTGGAATTCTGGGAGTTGAAGTCCACATGCCTTAAAATTGTCAAGGTTGAGAAACACTGCTCTAGGGAAAAGGCTTTGCACCCATTAGCACTGCCTTCATTTTCCTGCTTTTCTCAGTGACAGTGACAGAAAGCAAAGATGACGTGACTATGAAGATGGGGAGATAAATTGATATCTGCTTCGACTTTTAGTCACTAATGCAGTGGGAACCAGTGTGCACATTTAGAAGTTGTAGCGCATGTTATGACCGTGTGAGAGAAAGGAGCTTCCTATACACAAAATGGTGGTCATGGTGACTTGCCAATAACACAGACATACAACAAATAACCTGGAGCCTACAATATGCTCAGGGAGAGATTGGTGCTTATGGATAACCCACTGGTAGTGCCAATTCTAATAATCTCCTCACTGGAGATCCAACTTAGGACTTGCCTCAAGTCTTCAACGAACTTGAATGATAAATTTAAAATGCTTTGTTAACTAATTGTATGTCACAACTAGTGTTTCCTGAGTAGACTCTAAGAATCATTTATGGTTTTGCAGAAGGCATGGGGCAAGCCTTGCCTGTCAGTATTTCCAATTCCTAATTTAAAGATACTAGAATTTTCTCAGGCAATTCTACCCTACCTGTACTTGGTCCTTAAATCATGTGTCTTTTGGTACTTTACAGGTTTCCTGAAAAGTAGGAAATCCTGTTGGCCTTTGATTGAATATGCCAATTTTACCTACAGACTTTATTAGCCAGCCTTGACTCCTAGGGCAGTAGACACTTACAGATTCTTGACTTGTAAGTGAATTGCCATTGTCTTCTTCTGGGATAGTATTAGTATTTCTTGGGCTAGACTACACCTCCGGATTTTTTTGGTGGTTGGCTATCCAAGTATTAATTAAGTGCAACCTCTGTTTAGCTTTTTTTTTTTGTGGATGGGGAGGGATCAGCCAATATGGCTGATTTTCACTTGGCGTTCACCCAAGCTTGCACTTTTTGCTTCAGTTCCACACTTCATGTTTCCTCATAGTGGTATTCAATAAGAAACTATAAGAGGCAAAGAGAATATAAAATTCTGAAATCTGATCATGCTCAGTCTTCTTTCATGTTAAATGAGTATAAAATAAGAAAAGAAATGGCATTCATTCTATATCCTGTGCATACTGTCCATAATTCAAATGAAGACTGTCCACAATGTGTTGTTGTGGACAGTCTTCACATTTAGCCCCAGTATAAATGGAGTCTACGACAACTCACTACAGCCAACTCTCTGTAGCCAACTCACCATGGCCAACTCACCATGGCCAACTCGCCATGGCCAACTTGCCGTGGCCAACTCGCCGTGGCCAACTCACTGTGGCCAACTCACCATGACCAACTCACCACGGCCAACTTGCCATGGCCAACTCACTGCAGTCAACTCACCATGGGACAGTTTGCCACAAGACAACTTGCTGCAGGACAAGAGTTACAGTAATATCATAGAAATAGTGGAACAGAATCCTTAAGAAAGAATGCCAAGGGGGGGGGGGACAAAATGAAATGTGAATGAGAAAAATTAAAATATTTTTAAACTATTTTTTAACTAATCAAGGAGAGAAGCAACCTAGAACTAAGGAGAAACTTCCTGACAGTTAGAACAATTAACCAGTGGAACAACCTGCCTCCAGAAGCGGTGAATGCTCCAACACTGGAAGTTTTTAAGAAGAGACTGGACAGCCATTTGTCCGAAATGGTATAGGGCTTCCTGCCTGAGCAGGGGGTTGGACTAGATGACCTTCAAGGTCCCTTCCAACTTTACTATTATTATTATTTTAAGTAATTGAATTGAATTGTTGAATTAGCCCACAGTGAGTTGTCTTATGGTGAGTTGGCTGCGGCGAGTTGTCCCATTCTGGTATAAATGGCCTTTTCAAGAGTCCAGCCAGCTAGGAAAAAGAATCTTGTAATACTCTTTCAGATTTCTGGAAAAAGAAGAAGGATAAGTTTCAGGTAAAAAAAAAAGAAGAAAACTTTTCTTTCTCCTTCTCCCACAATATTCCCTAATGTGTTCAGGTTTCAAATCTGTATGCCAGACTTTACTATGCAGTAATATAAAATGGAACTAAACCTATCTTTTGTTTTCCCATGCCTGTTAATTTTTCCATACATATTGTGGGCAGGAAAGTATGTAAGTTTGAAAAATTAATAGCACGTTGCTTTGCTCTCTTGATTCTAATCCTCCCATTAAGATCCTGATTCCTCTTGCTCCCCCTTTACTATCACCCCTCTGTCTGATAACTGTAGCACTGCAAAGCTGCAAAGTAATCTTCCTGGACTCCTAAAAAGTAAACTAAGAGTAGCTACCTGCTTCCAGGCAACCAGTCCATCCATCGAACGCTTTGGGTGTTTATTCCCATTTTTGCTCCTCAAAGATTTGTTCTGTGTGAAGGGGAAAAATAATGAGAAGATGTAAGAGGTTACCACTGAAAGGTATTGTCTTTTGTCTCCTCCCTAAGTTCTGTGAATGAAGCAAGGAGTTTGCTCAATATTAATCATCTTGCCTTGGAAGCTGCTAGCTAAGTCTTTGGGCCATTTCCATTTCCCTGAGGTTTTTTCAGGTTATACGTATGTACAATTAAGGATCCTCAGCTATGATCTTAATGACGTCATAAACAAACAAACAAACAAACAAACGAAAATCATTATTTTGCATAGGGTAGTTTTGTTTCACTGTCAAATGGACATACCCAGTTTTGCAACTGATATTGTAGGAGAGCCATGTTGGTCTTTGGTAGCCCAAAATCAGGAGGAGTCTGGTAGCACTTTATCAGACTAACAAATTTGATTAAAAGGTATAGATTTTTCATGAGTTATAGCTCACTTTATTAGATGCATGGAGTGGCCACCAAAATGTATGCATCTTAGTAACATTTGTTAGTCTAATAAAGGGCTATCACACTCCTCTTCATTTCTAACAACTGATAGTAGAGGTAATTACTCTAATTTGGGGGGGTGTTGTGCTAGATTACTTATTTTCAGACTTTCTGCATAATGATTGAGTGCGACATCAAGTGATAAGCCTTGTAAGTACAGGTGATCTACGTCAGGTGAGCAAGAATGAATGTGGTGGGTTGAGGGAAGGTGCAGGGATATCGGGGTAAAAGAAAATAGAGAAACCTGTGTGGATCTCACTACTACACAACACCTCTAGTAAGAGTTTGCCCTAGTGAAATATGATTACAAGTTATATAGCATTATATTATGTTTTCCTTGAAAGGTCCAAAGGACTTTCCTCCTATATTTTTCAGTTTCTAGACATGAAAGAATAATCCAAACTGGCTCTACTCATCGCCAGGTCCAGCCAAATGAGAATCCTCGCTCCAATTTCTTACCTCTTGGATGGGATTCTTACTCAGATTCTTCTGTGTCCCGTCGGTCCCATTCTTATCCAAATGGTGACGGTAATGATCAAGACTGCAACCATACTCCTCATGGCTGTTGTTCAGATGGTCGCACTGCTGCAGCAGGTCGCTTTGGCCAAGGTTGCCCACTTGATTCTTGCCATTTGAGCAGGTAGGACTAGCTCATTAAATGAGAAATTTGCAGATGAAGCTGATATATTGGGTTGCTTTGAACATGTTACTGTTTTTTCCCCCAGATATGGGTGCTGCCCTGATGGAATATCACGTTCCCATGGACCTAACCAAGAAGGGTGCACACAATACTACAGTGATGTTTACATAAGCAGAAATCTTGTTACTCCCACTCCAACAGTAAGTGATGCAAACTTCTACACGTTCTAGAAGATGTGATGGAATATAATTATTTCCCCTTAGCTATCCCATATATATGACGACTGCATTTATCCAAAATCAGTGCCGTTTTCCTGTGTCCTATTGATAAATTTGATGCTTCCATAGATATCTGCAAACTGAATTAGGTTCAAAAGTCCATCAGCTCTTCTGCCCCTCCAGATGAAAAGCTAGAGAAGGCAGCTTTCCTTCCAACTCCACAATTCTATGATTTTTCTATTTCTGCAGACAATTCCTCTAAGTTCTTGCTAAGATAGAGTAAAATATTATAAAGTGTGTTTTGCTGTGTTTCACAGGGTATAACGGGCTATTTCCATTCATCCCATTAAAATTAGCAGTGTAGCTTTTTGGTATTTTATTCTGTAAGAAAAAATGTAACTGAATTATGAACTGTTTCTGGGATTGATTCAGTTGAACGTGCTACTTCATAAACATTGTTGAACGGTATAATCTGAGTAACATCTGGTTTTCTCTAAGGCAAGCCAAGGTCTTGCCCAGCAGGTGCCAACAGAGGAATGCCGAGGTTCTATATATGGTTGTTGCTATGACAACATTGCCTCTGCTTTAGGGCCTCAAGGAGAAGGATGTCCCACAAGACTCAGCCAATGTAAGTGACATTTGGTTTTTGAAATGTGGTACCTGGTATTTCACCTAGCAACAGCCATGACTGTGAGGAACAGTTGTAAGTCCCCTCGTTCAGAGCCATCCTAACTTTGAATAGTTTGCTGAATGTGGTCACTGAATGTGGACTACTATGTACTATACCAGTGGTGGCATTCAGAGCCCTCTCTGTGGGCACACACACCGTCGCCCCAGTCCTAGGCCTTCAGCTGGGTTTTATAAAACCTTTTCGCTTTAGGCCTCCACTGCCATGTACAAAAAAAAAGGTTCAATCAATCAGTCAATTTCAACTTCTCGTGGGAAAAAAAAGATCTTGCAAAGTTGGAATTGATTGATTGAACTTTTTAATCCCACCCAGTCTGCTGTTACCACTGCAGCCACGCCCACCCAATGGGCCACACCCACCCGGCACCCGACAATGCATAAGTGGGTTTTGGGTTGCAGTTTGGGCACTCTGTCTCTAAAAGGTTTGCCATCACTGTACTATACAATCAAAAATCTGATTTAAAAAGACCTGTCAGAGTTCGACCTGAAATATATAAATATCATTATATCTGAATTCTGTTGTCTATATTTCTTGCATAGAAAAATATTTTGTGCTTTTGTAGTAAGATTGTACAGAATTTGAACATTCCAAGGCTCTTCATAAGAAAGATTCACCAATACATTTCTGTTTGAAGTAAAACTTGTTTAGGCTCCCAGATGAAATCACTTGCATACATACATATCACACAATTCCTTTTCGTATAGTGCTTCCCAACCTTGGCAATTTCCCAGGATGAGAACTTCAACTCCTGGAATTCTCATCAATGGTGATGCTGGCTGTGGAATTCTGGGATTTGAAGTCCACACATCTTGGGATTGCCAAGTGAGGAATTATTGCTTTAGGAGAAGCAGATTCATGCAGGCATGGGAAAAAGTACAATACTGAAAGCCAAAGAAATTGATAGCATGATAAATAAACAATATACCAATATCATTTCTCTTCTGGCCTTTGCTGCTAGCTTATCCTGTCCAGTGTCTGTTACCCAGTGCCCATGGTTCCTGCACAGATTGGACAATACGTTGGTATTTTGTAAGCGATGTTGGAAAATGCAATCGATTTTGGTATGGAAGTTGTCATGGGAATAAGAACAACTTCGCTACTGAAGAAGAATGCATGAAAACCTGCCACGGATCAATGGGAAGAAGCTATGTGAGTATTCACCATCATGTCGCAAGTCCTAACGTCCGCTCTAGTTCTCAACTGCAAGAAGGGAACACAGAGGTAAAACCACAACAATTTGGAAGAACTATAAGTCACAGAACAGGAAATGAGGGTCATAGTGATAGGACTTCCTCCAATCAAGATTCCTTACCTGAATCTGAACAAGGAACTAGCTTGCTAGGAAACCAGCCAGAAAGGTCTCATCACTCAAGTACTCTTGATGAAATTAAAAGGGGCACAATAGACCATATGCATGGTTTGAGTGAGACTGTGATTTCCAGACACTCAGAGAAGCAGCTGACTGTGAATGGCCAGACCACACAACATGAAGAGTGGAGGAGGGAATCTGGAACAGATGGGTTAACACAGAGAAGATTTGGGTATCAAATCCCACAAGGTTCTACTTTTCAATATTCTCTGAACAGGTACGTATTTGCATTAGCATGGTTTCCCACAGAAATATTGAGGATGTCTTGCTAATTTTTTAGAATCATGCTTCATACAAGTTCCTATCTAACCCACTATGCATATCCATTTTGGGGGAAACTGCTACATATCTTTCAGAATCTTCTTGGATGGATCAGAGTCTTCTGCAGTGGAGGCAGGCCTAGGACAAAGCATTCGTCTTCTCTGTAAGACAGACAATTCACACTTATCTAGAGTTGAGTGGCAGAAAGATGGACAGCCGATCTCATCTGATAGGTAGGTCTGATCCCTGGATCCACCTCATATGCCCTGTGAATGGAACTTTGAGGTCATAGGCTTCACATTTGAAATTGTCAATATCTAAATCTACAACCTATGATCCTGGTATGAACTTCAGTGAACTTTACATGCCAGCAATGTTTCCATTGCTGCATTACAGGTAGTCTTTGACTTGCAACAGTTTGTTTAGTAAACCGTTTGAAGTTACAACGGCACTGGAAAAAAGTGACTTATGACCATTTTTCACACTTATGACCATTGCAGCATCCCCATGGTGACAAAAGTCAGACGCTTGGCAACTGGCATGTATTTACGATGGCTGCAGTGTCCCAAAGTCATGTGGTCACCTTTTGCGACCTTCTGACAAGCAAACTCAATGGGGAAGCCAGATTCACTGAACAACCATCTTACTAACTTAACAACTGCAGTGATTCACTTAACAACGGTGGCAAGAAAGGTCATAAAATGAGGCAAAACTGTCTAAACAAATTCTCACTTAGCAACAGAAATTTTGGGCTCAATTGTGGTCATAAGTTGAGGACTACCTGTATTTCACTGTCTTCACATAGCCAGTAAGAAACCTGCCAGCCATTCATTTTTAGCATCACTCACTTGCTCTTATTCCCATACTCTAATAGTAGAGTAACTACTCTTAATATGCATTTGACCCTGTCAATGACTATGTCATTCCATGTCAACTGATTATGTCAGTGACTGTTACTGAGTTGGTGCAATTTCCAGTCTACCATATTTGACAATCCTTTAATTTTCTTCCCCTGTAGGCATACCTACCAGTCTGACAACTCCCTGGTGATTAGCCATCTCAGGACCGAGGATGCGGGGATCTACAGCTGCATAATTTCAAATGGGAGGGTGGAACGCAGACAGATCGAGTTGCTGATCAAAGGTTATTTATTCTTTTGTTACTCAAAACACCCATAAAGCAAGAAACTGCTTGTCCTGCTGTGGCCAGCAGGTCATTCTACAATTTTTTTTTTTCATCAATGGAAAATAATATCCTTTCTAAATTGCCTCAGAGTACAAAGCACATGCTATCTTTATCCTGCTTTGTGGTTCAAATGCTTGGAAAGCTCTCCTCCATCTTATGGGAAACTTAGTACAAGAAAAACCTCCTAGATAGCCAAACAAACCCTGGAAAGAACCATCCCTTTGTCAGCCCCCAAAGATTTCTAAAAGTCCAATCCTGATGGCTTCTTTGTCCTATTTCTTTGTATAGAAATCCCTCAATCTACACTCACTCAGGGAAGAAGGCATCAACTTACTCATGACCAAAATCCCCAGCACAGAATCTTTGGCACAGGAACTAATGATGGGCGATCACATGTTTCTTCTCTACATCCTCAAATAACATACAGGTATATCTTTCAACTTCTCAAAGCAGCTCATGTTCCACATATTGTGCCGTGTGCTTTTGAGAGATGTGTTTGGAAGCTGATCAAACAAGAGCAGGCTATTTAATCATAGTGCTAGTGTATCTAATCTTAATGCTTAGAAATCAGCCCTGCATTTTCTTTACAGCTACAACACAGAATCTGGAGCAACTTTAACCTAGTTTTTCTCAGAAGTTTTTTTTCCCCTTTCTTCTCACTGGTTGGACCTGATCAGGCAACTGAAAGAACCCTAAGGGACTTAATTTAAGCAACCATTGATATCAAAGTGTTTTAATGAAATCATTTTATGCCTTAGGCAGTTTTCTGTATTTTGCTTGGCTCCTTGAGGAGGAGGAAACAATCATTAAGAAATTAATTATTGTCCTTAATAAATATTCATTATATAAATAAAACCATACTGCAGGAAACAAATTCTAGCAAAACAAGGTATACAGGCAAACAATTAGTCAAATAGCTTATTTTCACTGATCACTGGGCAGTTTTGTAATAAAACTCAGTGGCCAGCTTGCAGCCCAGATTCACATGCATCAGCTCAAAATTGCTTCTCTTGTGTAGGTGGGCATCAACTCATTAACAACTGTGAGTCACATTCTAGAATGTTGCTCCACTGAAAAGGACTAAGAAATGCTGCAGTGAGACAGATGATGAACTATAAGAGTTTATCTTTAGCAACTCGTCTTTTTTTTAAAGGGCTCAGTATGGCAGTGGGGTAGAGCATAAATACGTCATTTCAATGACAAGGGTAACTCTTACGCCATCTTCTGCAAAGAAATTTGCCCGGAAGAAAGTATAAAAATGGAATAGGTAATCTCCTATTCCCAGTTCTAGTCATTGATCCCTGACCCATCTCTAGCAATTGCTACTAGCTTCAATAATTGGAAATAATCCTCCAGTCAAAAACTAGAGTGCATGCATGGGACGTTATCAAAGGGAATGGCAGTCATTTGTTTCGCAATCATGTGTCATAAGTATTCAGTTACGTTATTCTTTATTCTTGCTTACAGGCTAGGAGTCAACCTCCTAACCTGCTGTATCTGGATTAACTGACCGGTGTACTGTAGGTCCCCAGACAGCTGCATGGTTTTGTTGAAATTCTTGCTGAAAACATCACACACAGCCAGATAAATTATAAGGAGCACATTCTGTTACATGGGATTCTTGTGGCTAGCAGCATTATCTGGGCCTGTAGCCAAGGGAACAGTTAACGGGGATGTATTTATGCAAACCTACATTTTGTAAAGTGCTAAGAGAGAGCCGCACACTGGCTGAAGAGGAATCTCTGTAATGGTCCATTTAGGTTCAAATCATGGTGAAAGGAGAAAAGAGTGAAAGTTCAATTATATAATATAGATAAATTTAATTTATCAAATTTATACACCATTTTCAGTATTCAACCTTGTGAACTCTCAAGTTTCCTCTTTCTGCTATATATTCAAAATGGATAGTGATTAATATATGTATATGTATATACATTTTATGTAGGTCTTTGGTTATTCGGGTTTTCTCCCGTAGAGAAAACCTGAATAACCAAAGACCTACATACAAACACCCGCGAAAACCTAAAATATACATTTTATATGTATATACATATGTGTGTGTGTATATATATATATACACACACATACATATATACATACATATATACATACATACATACATACATACACACTTTCTTTTGAGAACAGGCAACAGAATTTCATTTTTAATGTGTGCCAGTGTGCTCAGAGTAAAAATAGCAATAAAAGTTATCTCATCTCATCTTATCTTAAAGTCCACATTTCTCAGATAAGGTTGTAATTAGTGCAGCAGCCCAAGTTGGGCAAAGACTGATCTAGCCAAGGTTGCCAACTGCTGAGCCAGTAGGAATCACAAATCCTTGGACATATACTCAGCAGATTCACTATTTGTTGTTCTCCACTTGTGTCCCAGGCATCACTTCTACCACTTTATCCTCCAGATATTTTCTCAAAAATACAGGAAACTATGCAGAGGCAGAGAGAAACTGCTCTGGAATTATTTTACCTTGGCCTGAGATACCATCTTTTGCCAATGGCAAACTTGGCCTTCAGCCAACTTGGTCACAGATTGACAAGGAAATCCCCCAGCACTTGCTGAAAAGAGTAATTAAAATCAAAGAAGAAATTCTGGTCCTTTAAAAAAAAAACATTTTATGCATCTACTTTGCAGGTTAAAAATGTATAAGAATGAGCCTTCGATAGTTGATGCTAGCATTGGCGAACAAGTCCGACTGCCTTGTCGCGTAGAGGCTTCCCCCTCTTTAACCATTGAATGGCAGAAGGATGGCCGTCCTATTTCATCTGCCAGGCAAGTTATATCTTTGACAATGTTACTCTCTCATTTTGCTGTCTTTGTACTAAGTGTGTGCAAAAGTCAATGACTCCAATAAAGTAGGTAATTTAAGTGTGTGCAAATTTTCCCTTTCTGTTTTTTCCTTAGGGCACTTCCTTCTCTATATTACTCTACAGCCATGCTTTCATATTTCAGTAGGCCTTTTTTTCCCTATTCACACTTTCCTGCATTTTTTTTCTCCTACTTCCTTACATTTTTCTGGTCATCATTTCCACATGAATTTCTGTATAACCTTTTGTGATAACCTGCTATTTTTCTTGAGCTAGAAATCTCTGTAACTGTTTAATGCACAGCAGCTGACTTCATATAACGTGCTTAACAAAATCAGTTAGTCTGTGTTCACATAATACTTATTTACCCTTAACCTTAGTTTTGTGTTACTGAATGAGTTGAGCAAATGGAGTCCATTTTGTTACAGATAGCTCTTGGGTTACAATAACATTTAGGACCAGAATTTCTATAGCTAAGCAACATGGTCATAAAGTGCCATGAGCACATTACTTAGTGACAGCAATTCCACTATCCATCATAACCCTAGGATCATGTGGGTCATTAAGCGGGAAGAGGCAGAAGTCCCAGGTAATCAAGCTGGTGGTTTCTGCCATGAGTTGGGGAGAGATGCATGATGCATGCAGAGTGTGGGGCAGAGTGCCATAGGAGGGTCAGGGTGGGTGCTGTAGGCCGGTGCCATAGGAGGCAGGTGTGCCACAAACAGACTCTATCAAGTTTAGGTGTGTGGGTGCCACAACAGAATGCCACTGGCAGGTGCTAAGGATCACAGGTAGACAAAAAAGCAGCAGGAGTAACTTCCAACTTCCTGCCGGCTTCCCTATTACTTTACTTGTGGCAAGCTGGCAGAGAATGTTGGAAATTGTGATCACATCTCACTCACTCACTGCAAATTGGGCACTGAGCTCCTACAGGATCGCAGGACCATGGAGGTGCTGCGATAGTCAGATCTCCCTCTTGTTTTGCATTATCATACAATATCTTTGAAGGCTCGCCGAATAAGCGGTCATAACCCAATCAACCACATCTTTTTCATACCATTTATTTTCCCCCTGTACTGCCCTATGTTTAGTAGAACATATCACGAAGATGAAATAGCTCCAGTCAAAGAAGGCTGAGTAAGATGGCCTGAAATGCACCATGTTAAAAAAAAAAAAAATCCGGGAAAGCCTAAGCAGACAGCCTTTCCCTCCTTTATTGTCAATGAACTTTGCTAAACATGATCAGAGTGGTTGGAACACAGCATAATGTAATGATCAGTATCTAGGACTCGGCAGTTTCAAATCTTCTCTCAATCATGGCATTTTGAATTGACTTTGGGCCAGTCACTAATCCTTAGTTCATCCTCTCTCATTAAATTCTTACTGTGGGGATAAACTAGGAAGACCCCCTTCCCATGTACATCAGAAGACAGGCTATCAAAGGGATGTCCTAATTTTCCAGAGGCTCTCTCTCTGTCATACATTCCTGCTTTGTCTGTTCAAATAGCAACTCATTCATTTTAATGACTTACTCGATATTTGTGGGCTAAAGTGCTCTGTCAAAAACTGTCATTTGACAACCTGGATGGGTACCTTGTATTGTAATTATACTCAGCTCAATGCTTCTTGTATTTTGGACTCCTGCATATTTTAAATGAAACAGCCAACTTACTACCAGCTGCTCAAAAAGATTAGTTTTAAGAGTGGACTGATTCACACAGGATGCAAAGTTAAAACCAAATACCTTTACAGTTTATGTTTCCTTAAGAACCCAGCCAACTGTGGTTTACTCAGCAAACCATGGTTTGGTGCAATATAATCCAGCTACTTTTAATTAGCTTGCAGCAATTAGGCAGGACTGATGACACCTGATCCCAGAGAGATTATTATTGTACAGGTATAGTATAGGGGGTACCTTGCTCAATAATAGCAACTGTGAGAGGGATCTTGGAGTCCTAGTAGACAATCACTTAGATATTTGCAGTCCCAAAAAAGCCAACACAGTGCTGGGCTGCATTAACAGAGGGATAGAATCAAGATCACGTGAAGTATTAATACCACTTTACAATGCCTTGATAAGGCCATACTTGGAATACTGCATCCAGTTTTGGTCACTATGATGTAAAAAAGATGTTGAGACTCTAGAAAGAGTACAGAGAAGAGCAACAAAGATGATTAGCGGTCTGGAGGCTAAAACATATAAGGAACGGTTGCTGGAATTGGGTATGTCTAGTTTAATGAAGAGAAGGCTGGAAGGCAGGACAAGAAGCAATGGATGGAAACTAATCAAGGAGAGAAGCAACCTAGAACTAAGGAGAAACTTCCTGACAGTTAGAACAATTAACCAGTGGAACAACCTGCCTCCAGAAGCGGCAAGTGCTCCAACACTTGAAGTTTTTAAGAAGAGACTGGGCAGCCATTTCTCTGAAATGGTATAGAGTTTCCTGCCTGAGCAGAGGATTGGATTAGATGACCTCCAAGGTCCCTTCCAACTTTTTATTATTATTATTATTATTATTATTATTATTATTATCATCATCATCATCATCATCATCATCATCATCATCATCATTATTAACATATTTGAACTTTAGGAGCTCATAATTCATATTCAGAATACATTTTGAGCCATTAGCTTCTTACAAAAAGGAGTCTGTAATCTGTGAGTAAATGCATTTCCTCTTCTTCTAAAATTCATTTTTTTAATTTTAATTTTAATCTCCAGGCATAGGCAGCAACCTGATGGTGCCCTGCTAATCAGTCATCTGACATCTGAAGATGCCGGCTTCTTTACGTGCATTGCTTCTAATGGCCGGGACCAAGATCAGAAAAAAGTTCAAATTAGACCTAGAGGTAGTAGTGGGTGTATGGGGTGGGGGTGGGAGTTTTACTTCAGTGTTATCCAAATATAAGTAATGAATTTGCTGCTGGAGAAAAATATGGTCCTTTTTTTTGTGCTACTGTTGTTAAATTAAGCTTTAGCTGTGGATTAATATATCCAATCTGGAGAGTGAACTATCTCAGCATATTTCCAGCAATTGAAACCTGGTGCCAACAAGAAAATTAGTAATAGCTGAATGTTGTGTTTAAGATTACAGAACTAACTCTACAAGATTTTCTGAAATGGTATAGGGCAGTGGTGGCGAACCTATGGCACACGTGCCAGAGGCGGCACTCAGAGCCCTCTCGGTGGGCACGCACGCCACCACTGCCAGCAGCTTCTGCAGGTCCATTAGGCCACCGCCACTGCCCAGAGCGGCAGCCCAACCAGGCACAAAGGAGGTGAAGTGGCCAGCTAGCAAGCTCGTGTAGAGGTGGTAGAGCACGCCCACACCCAGCAAGCCAAAGGCCACCCCGAGCAGGGAAAGCCAGATCCCCATCGGCGCCATGGCCTCCCAGTCCCAGCTAGGATTATGTGCCTCCCCCCATCTATGCTGGGCCTCCTGCCCACCACCCCACCCGCCAGAGACCCCCTGGATCTCCCCCAACCCTGTCCGGCCCCCACAGGCCCCCATGAGCAACATCGAGGTGGCCATGCCTATCCCAGCCACACCCATCCAGTTTGCCGTGACAATGCCCACCCAGTGGGCCACGCCCACCCAGTGGGCCACGCCCCCATGCCCCCCCTGAAGGCACCACAATACTGATGTGGCCCTGGCACTTTGCGATAAATAAGTGGGTTTTGGATTGCGGTTTGGGCACTCGGTCTCTAAAAGGTTCGCAATCACTGGTATAGGGTTTCCTTGTCTGAAATGGTATAGGGTTTCCTGCCTGAGCAGGGGGTTGGACTAGATGACCTCCAATGTCCCTTCCAATATTATTACTATTATTATTATGCTTCACAATCCCCTTTAGGTATGAGATCAGTTTAGTTTCATCAATGGTACCATCAAATAATCTGAGTGAGATATTTAGGGTTTCCCATAAAGTGGGCCAGGTTCAAGAGGTGTAGAAAATTATTCAATACAAGTGTTTTAAAACGGTTTGGTGGTGATGGTTAAGATAATTCAAATTGGTTTAAGCTCCTACCTAGTGGAAATATTGCTCTAGAAACAAGAAAATGGGGCTCTGGAAATTGCTGCTGCTGCAGTGACTTGTGTGCAAGAGAGAATAAACGTAGGAAGGAGATATAGTTACTGATATGAGAACAGTTTCTCCTTTTATCAGTATAGGACAGCCATAGAGAAGTACTTAACTGTGGCTGATTGGTTACACCACAATGTTTCTCTGTGTTGAATTCTATTGTGGATATCATGTTGAGATTTTTCTCCCATGTAGATGGTCTTTCAACTGGAAAGGCCAAGTTCACATGAGCAGAGCAGGGCTGTTCAATCAGAGCTGTATTTTCAGAACATAAGTTGATGACACTTGGGCAAAATTTTCCTGGAATTGAGAACACTCTTTTCCTGCCTAGGAGACCTGAGAATTATTGACTTGCTGCCCAGGCTTTCTGTGTCTGAAGGGGAGAATGCTCATCTTCACTGTGTTGTGACAGGCAACAATGTAAACATAAGATGGTCAAGGTAAGTGGGGGGTGAACCCAGCTATATTTACTTATCCTTTTAGTACTACTGAAGCATGCAAGAAATTATCAAGCAACAACCAACTACTTGGAAGATGAATCCAGATTTAGTTTTTCAAACTCATTTGAAATAACCCCGTTTATTTATGTGTCCCTTGGAAGACTTTCTGAATACAAACCCTCCCTTTATTTCCTCGTAACTGGGAGTTGGGGACAATGTACAGCAACTGCAAGACCACTAATTATTTACTTCTGCATAGAAATGGGGTTCCAGTAAGATCAGATGGTCATCGGATCCATGTGTCTCAAGATGGAAGCTTGTTTCTAAACAATGTTCAGCTTGGTGATGAGGGCTCCTATACGTGTAATGCTTACAGTAGCAATAATTCGGTCAGTGCCAGTACAGATGTGAAAGTCATCAAAAGACGGCCAGAAGGTGGGTGTGCATAGTTGTTCTTTTTAAATTTTCTTCCAATTTCCAGTATTGGATTTCACAGCAGCTGCAACCTTAAATGTGCCATATGCTTTTCCTTCCGGGACTGGAAATGTTTTCTGTTGTAGACCTTCTGTAGAAACATACCTGATACTTCTGGTCTTCTTTTTTTTATTTTAGAACCCTTATATCAGTGTTTCTCAACCTTGACAATTTTAAGGCGTGTGGACTTCAACTCCCAGAATTCCCCAGCCAGCAATGCTGGCTGTGGAATTCTGGGAGTTGAAGTCCACACGCCTTAAAATTGTCAAGGTTGAGAAACACTGCCTTATATTATCTGGTACTCTTTAATGAGAGCATATGAGTATGGAAGGCAGAGTTGAAAGAGAAGTATTTGCATCTGGAAGTGGTTAATGTCTCTCTTTGTGAAGGCAAGATGGCACCTGCCTTCAAAGAAGCAGTAGTGCATGCTCGCCTGAAGGGGTTATCTTTCAATAGAGCCATATTGGACAACTTCTGTCCTGTCTCCAACCTTCCCTTTTTAGAGAATATGCTTGAGGTGGTGATGGGGAATCAGCTACAGAGCCAAAGAAGTAGATTTACTAAGTATCTTTCAGTCACTATCCAGGCCTGGCCATATGAAAGGGAAAAAAAACTGTGAAGGATGTCTTGGATGCTTCCAAATGCTATTAATTTCTTGGTGGGCATTAATACCATCAACCATGGCATCCTTATGGATTGCTGCAGTGGTTGGGGACACAGTTCTGCAGTAGCCCTATTTCCACTTGAGCCATTAGTACCAGCTAGTAATTGTTAGGGAAAAGCTGTTGAGCCTGTAATCACTCCAAATTGCAGGGTTTGGTCCTCTTTCCTGTGGTTATCTCTATGAAATCGGTTAAATTATTCATCAATTTGGGGCTTGAGCTACATATGGCAAACCTAGCCAAGGCTGGAGATGCTATGAGAATTTAGAATTGAGAGTCACTGGGAGTTGGGCAGCATATAAATATAATAAATTATTATCAATTGGTGCCTAAAATCTGACACTCCTGTTGCCACAGTTGGTAAGGGGAGTTGAAAAGCAATCCAGCAGCCTGCCTCTACACGCTTTCCTATAAAGTGGTATTTTTGCATACAGTCAGAAACATGAAATCATTGAGACAAACCAGTCCTTGTTATTTAGAAATAAATTCTATTACACTCAGTAATAGTTAACATCACTTGGAAGACAATTTTAAGGTCAAAGGCTTTTAAACTATGCCCGTTTGACTTCAGGAATTACTAAGCTGTAACTGCTGTTGTAGTGCAGAGCATTTATTTTCAGCCTGAAACAGCTGTTTGCCATTTAGAGAATCTCTCTCGGCAGAAACCAATCAATTTTCTCTCAAAATGCACTAATGCTGATGTTGCCATTTGCCACTTTTGAATGTTTGCCAAGATGTAGATTCCATTCACAGTATTTTTTTTGCTGGAGCTGCAGCAGATAGGAATATTTTCCACTGCATGCAGTGAAATAGCCATAATGTCAATAACAAAAAAGTGAACTGCTGTAATCACTCCCAACTGATTATGAAAAACACCTCGTTTGGTTCTATTTGACTTCCTTTCCTTCCTTACTCTTCTAGTGCCAGCATCCCTCCCTGTGGACACAAGCAGGGAATGTGTTGATCAGCCACACCTTGCTAACTGCGATCTGATTCTACAGGCTCAGCTCTGCAACAACGAGTATTATTCCAGCTTCTGCTGTGCCAGCTGTTCTCGCCGCTATGGCTGAGTCACAGGCTGCCTACCTTTCTTACAACCCTACTCCAGAAGCACTCATCTCCAATCTGTTTATCAAGCATACACACGGGTAGTCAGCACAGCTAATGTGAGAACAAGGAGAATAGTTGGCAAAAATGGTATCTCCACCTTCCTAAGCTGTATTTTGTTTTGCAAGAGAAAGACCAATCCTCTTAACAGCAGGCTGACCTTTTCATTTAAGGAAATGAAGAATTGTTCCACTAGCAAAGCTTAACAATACAGACAAGAATTCAAAATAAGTGGGAAAGTTGCTTCAAGATAAATCAAGGATAGCAGACACATTTTAAATCAAACGTAAAAGCTAAATTAGTGCCAGAACCCACTAAGAAAAACTGCTGACCGCATTTTTTGTGGAAATTTAGCATACTGACCTAGAAACTTGTTTCCTGCGGTTATATTAAATGTCCCTGCAGTTCAGATATAAACAGTTACAAGCAGACGATTGTTTTTTCAGCAGATACAGGAAACTACTATTGCTGAGTTAACTAGCAGCAGTGAGTATCACTTAATATTTGTTGGAAATACGTAGAACACAGAGGCATCAGAAGAGGAAAATGCATGGCGACGTGGCAAGGTTTTGTACTTCAAATACTCTTAAAACAGGAAGGCTGTATTTCTTGAAGTAAGTTCATTAAACAGTGATCCTCTCTTCCAATTAAACATGTATACAATTGCATTAAGGCCTTTGAAAAAGGAAACGAATTCTGTTTTATCTCTTCTGCATAAACAAATACCAGAGGGCTGTGCAATTTGAGAAGTGGTTTTTGTTTCTAGAATCTCACAACTACTGCAGCCACGCAATCTCCAGAGATACCACTGCATTAATGAGTCATAGACAAGTACTGAATTTGCACTCCTGTATGTTTCAAAGCACTGTGCAGCCAGCCCCACTAGTGTACACAGCATCACAACAGAATTGCTTGTTGATGTACTCAGAATTATGGAAAGGTATGCCTTACCTCTTTCATTATCCCAACCTATGTGCCAAATTATTTAATACAAGGATGACCATTGGCACTATAGAAGTTCAAACTGCAGTATCTATGCATTCTCAATGGCTGACTAGAATTATATTTTACGGTGCAAGACTAGACTCATCCCAAACCTGTATGTGTTAACTATAAAGCTGTCAATTATTCACAACCTTTAAGATTGTGAATACCATAAACTAGTATAATTTCCTTTAAGCCAACATTCCTGGCACATCTGCAGTTTCTTCCTCACATGATTCCTGCTATAGCTTTCAGTCCACTATTATGGACTCAATTAACCTGAAACCTTCCCAGATTTTAAGTAGCTCAAGATCTCATTTCTTTTAGAAACAAAGTATATCTGTAATACCATACTTTTTAATTTGCTTGATGGAAAAACAAATATGAGAATCTGCCATATCTATGATGTTTATACTGAGATATGCCGATCAGAATACATGAATGTTCTGATATCTGAAGGCAAATATGATTTATAGTTGGGCTACTCCATTATAGGTTTGATACATGAATAGCTATAACCAAATAATGAAAAACAAATTCTCCCAAACAAATCTATTTTTTAATTATCTGATTGTACAATGGGACTATCTTCACTGAAAATGAGAAACATTTATCAATGGCTCCTGTAAAAAATGAACAAACCAGTATTTACAGCACATTATGCAGAATGTTTAGTAACGGGAACAAGGCAATCTTCTGCCTATTACCTGCTGCTCAGAACTGCGGGGCGCCGTATGAACTAGGTAACAAGATTTCAGCTTCTTCAATAAAGATGCAAATTAATTCAGTGTTAGTATAATTTAACTGTAGCACAGACATATAGACAAACTGAGAGAACAAAACATGTTTGTATTTTCTTGCATTCAGAATTGATTTGTCATGGAAGGTACAAATATTATCTTACAAAAGCCAGAGAGAAGGCATGTGGTATTTTTTTACACATGCAAATCATTCCCCAACTATCATTTATAATCATAAGCACAAGTTTTCCTCAGGGAGTGCCATTCATCAAAAACATTAATCCATTGAGTCTATCTCCCCTTTAATGGATTGAGAAGGTAATCTTGCAACAGGCAACCAACTTAAAATCAACTAATCAAGGATAGAATCAACCTAGAAATAAGGAAAAATTTCCTGACAGTTAGAACAATTAATCCATGGAACAATTTGCCTCCAGAAGCTGTGGATGCTCCAACACTGGAAGTTTTTAAAAAGAGATTGGACAACCATTTGTCTGAAATGGTAAAGGGTTTCCTGCCTGAGGAGGGGATTGGACTAGGAGACCTCTAAGTACCTCCCAACTCTTAATCTGTTAAAAACGCATTTCACCACCTTGAGGGCCAGTTTTTCAGAATAGAAAATTTGAAAATCAAAGCAGGTATGTTTTGGTGCTTTTAATGATGGTATCTTACAGGTTTTAATGGTGAAACTTGGTGTGATGGTATGATTAGAATGCTTGATTAGAACCACCCTTAGCCATGGAAATTCATTGGATAAATTGGGCCAGGTACTTTTTCTCAACCCAGCCTCTAACATGGAGAGGGGAGAGGAAAGTGAAAATAAAATGAAGAGATCCCCTTTAAAGTGCACTGAACTTTTAAAAGAAAGGTAGGATATAAAATCTGAACTGGAATAGGATAGTCTTATTTCCCTGTTGCTTCCAAGAAATCAGGTTTTAAGGTAGGGGTCTTCAAACTTGGCCGTTTTATGACTTGTGGAATTCAACTCCCAGAATTCCTCAGTCAGCGTGCCTGGCTAAGGAATTCTGGGAATTGAAGTCCACAAGTCACAAAAAGGCCAAATTTGAAGACCCTTGATTTAAGGCATACTATTTATAATCCAGGTCATCAACAGATAATATCAATAACAACTAAAAGTCTTATCTTCCATGAATCTGTCAATCCCCTTTTAAACCATTCTAACTGGTGACTTTTACCCCAGCCACTGACAATAAAATCCAGTTTAACTATGTGCTGTGTGAAAAAGTTCTGAGTCTCCCTATATTTTGTATATACTGAATGATCTGAAGCAAGGGAAAATATTTCTCCACAATATCCACACCATGAATTATATTATATATCTTTATTAAATCTTGCCTTCATTCAAGCAAAACAGCCACAATTATTGTGGTCTTTCTTTATAGCAAAGCTGCTTCATTCTCCTGATCATTTTGGTTGCACTTTTCTGTATGTTTTAAAATTTTACAATATCATGCTTCTAGTAAAGTGACCAGTACATAGTACTCTGGTCTCACAAGTACATGTACTTAACTCCAGCTCAGTTAAAAAACATCAGTCACAATGTGATTCCTAAGGATCCCACTATACACCTCTCAGCAATGTGAAAATTGTCAATTTATTTCTCCTTCAATCTTTCCCCAGTTGCAAATCCAACTAAAAAAACTCCATGGCAGCTGAGTGGGCAACATCATCAAAAATTTTGGTGAGGCAAGATTACTTTTTCAGAACCCACGCTGATTATTTTACAGCAAGGCTCCATTCCTCTATGCATTTAAATGATATTTTTAATTATTTTTTTTGGAGCAGAAGTTAAAGGAAATTAAAGATCAAGTACAGTGCATATAAAAAGTCTACACATCCCTGTTAAGAGGCCAGAGTTTTGATATGTAAAAAATCATGCCAAGATAAATCACTTCAGAATTTTTTCCCACTTTTAATATAATGTATAAGCTATACAATTCAAAGGAAAAATAAACTGAAATCTTTTACAGTGAAAAATTTAAAAATGTACAATAATATGATTGCATAAATGTGCACATTTTCTTATAAGCAGGGCTATGCCTGTGTTCCAAATTAATCACATTCGAACTAATAGTAAAATAGTTGTCAATAAACACTTGCCATCAATTAAAGTGACTCTGATCAAGCCCATATAATGTTCAGCTGTTCTAATAGGAGTTTTCTGACATTTACTCAATTGCCTCTTACAGCAAAAGCCATGGGCTGCAAATGGCTTACAAGGCATCAAAAAGATCTTATTGTTGAAAGGTATCAGTCAGGAGAAGGGCCCCAAAAAAAATTTCCAATGCATTGGATATACCATGGAATACAGTGAAGACAGTCATCAACAACTGGAAAACATATGTTACAACAATGATATTACCAAGAACTGGCTGTCCCTCCAAAATTGATGAAAAAGCAAGAAGAAGAAAAAAACTAGTCCCAGAGGTTGTTAAGAGGTCTACAGCAATAGTAAAGAAGCCACAGGAATTTCTGTTTAGTACTGGTTGGGTATTACATGTAACAGCAATCTCCTGTCTTCTTCATCTCTGGGCTGTGGGGTAAGGATACAAGATGGATGCCTTTTCTTATAAAGAAAAACATCCAAGCCAGGCTATATTTTTGCAAAAACCTACATCAAATCTGACAAAGGCATGTAAGAAATTGTGTTATTGGTCTGAGGAGACCAAGATTGAATTTTTGGGCCATAATCCCCAAAAGTATGTTTAGTGCAAAAACAATGTGCATCACCAAATGTGCACCATACCCACAGTGAAGCGTGGTGGCGGCATTATGCTTTGGGATTGCTTTTCTTCAGCAGGAATTGATGCTTTAGTCAAGGTGAAAGGAATTATGAACAATTCCAAGAATCGGTCAATTCTGGCACAAAAGCTTCAGGCCTCTGCTAAAATGCTGAAGATGAAGATGAATTTCACCTTTCAGCATGGAAATGACCCAAAGCGTACCTCCAAATCAATAAAAGAATAGCTTAACCCCAGGGGTCTTCAAACTTGGCCCTTTTATGACTTGTGGACTTCAACTCCCAGAATTCCTCAGCCAGGCACAATTGAAAATCTGTGGGGTGACCCAAAGAGGGCTGTGCACAAGAGATGCCCTCGCAATCTGACAGATTGGGAGGACTTTTCAAGGAAGAGTGGGCAAAGAGTGCCAAGGCAAGATGTGTCATGCTGATGGGCTCCTGACCCAAAACACTGAATGCTGTCATAAAATCAAAAGGCGTTTCAACAAAGTATTAAAAGGTGTACACACTTATACAACCACATTATTATATTTTTTATTGTTATTTTCCCCCCTAAAATATTTCAATTTGTTTTTCAATTGAATTGTACAGCTTATATGTTACATTAAAGGTGGAAAAAATTCTGGGGTGATTTATCTTGGTCTGATTTTTTTTACATCTCAAAAAACAGGCATTTTAACAGGGGTGTATGGATTTTTTTATATCTATTGTAGTTCGTCACTTCCCAACCCCTTTTTCAAAATCTGGGTCACATTGGTATCTATTCCCATGACTGGGAAATATTTAAAAATAAAGAGAAATGGTAAAATAGCAAAACAGCTTTTGCTGTACTTGTTATTGTGCTAGATTAATGTTGAATGCATATCTGAGAAGCAATTTTTCTGTCTGTTGATAAAATTGTATAGATAGAATTATACCTTCCTTAATAACATAACAAATAATCAACTATTGATCATTATTTGTTCATTCATTCTACACAACAATCCTGATAAGGACTGCATATTCCAAGAAGCTCTTTCCCCTAGACCCAAAATAAAGCCTGGTTTTATAAAAGTTTTTCTACAACAGAAATAAGGCCTTAAAAGTATTTGGACCTGTATATAGGAAGCTAATAACTGTCCATTCACTGTACAAAAATTACTGGATTGTGGAAATTTTTGCCTCTGATCCCAATAGGAATTTATTTAGGCTCTACACAAATGTTTCATTGACAATATTCAATTATTGTCTATGTGGCAGCTTTATG